GAGAAAGCTGGGAACCTGGAATTTCAAGGGAATGGTCCCTGTCCAAGTATAGCGTGGATAATTAACGTCCCGGAATTTGAGGACCGGTATGTGCAAGAGGTTTCTAGCTAGCAGAATTTCGAGTGATCTTATTGCAGCACGAAACACTGCAAAAACGCACGATCGCACGGGCCCGCCAGTGCGCGTCGCCAGTGATACTTGCCATCAGGTGCTTTATAAGCACGGACTTATTGACATAAAATCTGTTAAAGCAAACAAATGACACGGTGATTAACAAGTAGAGCATACACAGAACAGTATTTTAACTTCATCGTATTAACACAACGCTCGCATTCACACTGAGCAGTAAATATGAAAAAAGTTTATAGATATCCTCAGATGTTATCATTTCGATGCATATCCCGTTTCAATCACAAGGAATTCATCAATTGGCATCTGGAACTTTGTACTGTGTAAACGAAACTAATAAACATCCATGTTTTAAAGCAGAAAATCGTTGACATGAATGATGCCTGGGGCCACTTCATGAGTGCTCCGTATTTTCTGCTTGAAACGAGAAAATTAATTTTTGTGCTTGATTCAACCTTCTGAAAGTGAAACCAGTCAGTTTTGCCGTTTCGAGGTCTCGTTTTAGTGGTACGAAGAGCGGCTGAGTATGGAAAAGCTTCAGGACAAAAATGAGTTTTCAGGGATTATGACGTACAAGTCCGCACAAATTCATCCGCTCAAGTGCTAAGTCAATGAGAATAAACCTAGGGAACAAAAATAATAATTAGCTAACGCACGGGCTGCCCGTGCGAAGATGCGTTTTTTGCATAGTTCCCTGCAGATATTTGTTGATAACGGCACTGTTTTTCCCAACAGATGCTTCTAGCTAAAACAGTTTCAAACTGGCCGCCAGGACTGTCAGGAAACATCCCTTCAAGATTCCAGTCTTCTAGCTTCTCAGGTTCCCGAGCTACTAACTTACCTGAAAAAACCTTCATGGGCCCGTATGTGGGTACCACGCACACCCGGCGGCTGAGTTTGAACTCAGTGAGATTGAGACGGACGGGGAATATTCTCTTAAAGTTATAGTCTCATAGCTTTTCAAATTCTCGAGTAGCGATTTACCCGAAAAAAACTTTGGCGGCCCGTAAGTTGTTACCACGTATACCCAAGGACTGGGTTTGAGCTCACTGAGACTCACTTGGACGAGGGACATCCCCTTAAAATTTCAGATTTCTAGCTTTTTTGGTTCGCCAGTTAGCGGCTTACCCTCAAAAACCTTTCACGGGCCTGTACGTGGGTACCATGCGGGGAAGACTGCCCATGGGGGGGCGGTGACTCGTACATGCACATTTGGGGACGGTGACTCGTACATGCATGTAGATTATGTTCCCTAAGTTTCAGTTCTATAGCTTTTGTAGGCCTCAAGATGAATAATAATACAAAGGCCCAGTGCATACACAGACACAGACACACACACACAGACAACCTCTTATCAGTATGCGTCTTCCGCACTGCATAGCTGCAAAAAACGCATAGAAAATAAGTAGCTTCATCCTGCTCCTCCATTCCGTGACACATCTTTTCTAAATTCATTCCCAAAACTTTTATTAAATGGGCACGGAAATTAAAACCAAATAGCAAAGACTATCATAACTTCGTCGCGTTCATATATTTTTGCGCGAATCTTGAAGCAATTAATTCGCTAACAGTATGAATAGTTGCTGTTTTGTGATTTAAAATGCGCACTTATGTTGGCAATGTTTTGCCTTTTCTTGCGTGTAAGAGGAAATTTCTGGTTATGATGTTCCCAATTAGGTGGAGAACACACTTATACAGTTTCAAACTTTCAAGCTTCTGCGGCTGCGAAGTTGAAAATTGGTGGCAAATTTCGTTCGTCAATACAGCACATCAATGACCTTTTTACAACATGCGTTTCTGCTTAAATGTTGCAAAGCAATACATGTAGAGTAAAGATGCATAATTAGGCAGATCAAAAAGTATAAAAAATGCGATAATAAACTGAAATGCAATGAATACCATTAAAATTCGTGACGAGCCCTATCCTGGTTCAGCAGCTTCGCCGCTGAAAAATTTTAAATGAATCAGTAAAAAAGTATAATCGAAAGCATATAGTGTAGTAGAAAAAACTGTGCATGGTTTCGAGCATTTTTTTACTGAGATCTGCAAAACCACTTGGACAATCAGTGTAAAGCTCCGTACCAGTGGTGTTACTCTGCTGGAAGCATTAATTAGTACCGGTGTTTGTTCGATCTACGCTGCATATGTACAAATATGTGTCTCTTATATATATGTTTATATATATACATATATATTTACGTATAGTTGCATAATTGATCTTATTTTTGTGCATATAAATAAAGTTAGCTATGTATACATATATATATGTATACGTATAGCTGACTTTATTTATATGTATATACGTTAAATGCAGTTGCATAACTGACTGTAGTATATATAGTTGCGTAACTGATTTTATATACGTGCACATAAATAAAGCTAGCCATACATGCATATATAAGAGATACACATATATAGCTAACTTTGTACACATATACAGCTCGTTTTATTTATATGCATATACACAAAATCATTTATGCAACCATGAAAATCACTAATAGTAAGCAAACATTTTGGAAGCACAGTTTCTTGCTGAAACCACAGTACTGTAGAATCAACCGTCTCATTTCCAAGCAAACAGGCATATTCAGTACTGCTTTTGTCCACCTGAGCGAGTCAGCACAATCGAATAAATTTATACTGTGAATATAACTTTGCAGCTATTTTTGTCGTAAGTTTATTTTTAACACCCAAATTCCAATTTCTACCTTTTGAGAAAAATTTCAAAGCCTCCCGGAGTTGAATGAAGCAAAACCTTCCGGAAAAAGCAAACAGATGATAGTCTGAGTCAAGTATGCAGACCGAAACGATTTGTTGAAAATTATTTTTTTCACCAAGGAACAACTGTTCAAAAGTCGAGGCCACAAAGCTCCATATCATTACTCGCAACCGTGCGTTCTGAGGAAAACGGAGGCGCATGAAGGTGTGACAAAGCAACGAAAAAAGCAGAAGGAGGGCAAACGAAACGGACACATTCGACGCGTGTGCAAATAATTCTGTAGACGCGCATGCAAAAAAAGGTTACAGCTCGCGACCCAGATATGCAGCAAACACTTAACGCACCAGATTCATGGTATACAACGCTGTAATTTTAGCAGTTGATAGTTGCTTAAATGGATGATACCTGCTTTTTCAATTCGTTCCTGTTCGCTTTCATCGCTACTTGCTTTCTAAAAAGAATTTCGCGGATAAGTACTAATTAATAAGAGGAACTACTTTAGAACTACCTAAACTTATCAGCCAAATCACAAGTCCAAATACATATTGAATGCGCAATTGTGAAAGATATCTGTTGTGCAAGGAAAGTACTAAATTCAGTCAAAACCAAATTTTCTCTTTCAAAATTCGACTGATACTAAAGATTGTCCATTCAAAGCTGAAAAAGCCTGTTTGATGTTGTTTATTAAAACAGTAGGTGGTTTTTTCCAAAGTCTGTTTTAGAATCAACGTGAATGTAGATAAAGCAGTATAAGTTTATTAGTACGAAATCATAGATTCAAGATCGCAGTTTTTCAAACAAAGCTTTAAAATAGGTGAGTTAGAAAACTGGCCGAGCTATCGGAAATGTCTGAACCAAAGTTTGCTGAGAGAGTTCTAGTTTTTTTGGAGGAAACATACCTTGTCGCTTGATTCACTCATCATTTCATCCGCTCCATCTGCAATTGCCGGGATTTTCATTTCGAAAATGACGGTCACAGTGAATTGTCGGAATAAAGTGTGAGCCGCAGTAATACTGCCTGTCATTGACAGTGCTAAGAGGCTAAATGCGTCACTGCGGCGGGGAATGACTGCAGTGCCGTAAGGATTTTATGAACGACCTGCTGGATATAAAAAGGCCGACGTGGTCTGTATTCGTTCAGATTTATAAATCACTTTAAGTATGGATTTACAAGCAAGAACACATCTTGTTTTTTTCCTGATTTATTATCATTCTCGCAAAACGCTTTGAATGGATGACATAACTACAAAAATTCAGTGGCATAATTTTCCACGTTTTGAGGCCTATGCAAGAATCAGAATCTGAACAATGAAAGCTCAAGGAATACTGAAATTTGAAAAATGATTTTTATGTCATTGCCTTATTACAGTCATGACAAGTCTTGCAAATATAATTTCCATAGTTATGATTTGGCTTAGCTCGACTCGGCTGGATTGGTATGGGGAGAGGGAACTGGGATGACTATGGGGTAACAGCGTGGCAGGAAAAGATGAGTAAAAAGAGAATAAAGGATTGAAGGCACTAGTTTAGGACTTACTAAGTCATAGCAAAAAGGAAGGAATTAGAATATAGACTGACAAAAAGCTGAGATTTTGTTTGGAGGTAGGAATTGGAAACAGAGGCAGGGATTATGGAGGAAAAATGGTCCAATTACCCGGATTTGTTATTGAGATCAATGGTTAAAGCACATTAAAGTCTGAGATTTAATTTTAAGTCAATGCGCAGCACTGCGTGACAACGCAATTTCTAAATATTTGATGCTTACAGCATAAGAATATGAGGATTGTACACAGGCTATGATTATATAAATTGCTGGAATTATAACTATAGATTATTAGCCAAATTAAGGCACTAAACCAGAAAATTATAAACAATCATAAAAAAATATCATCGTAGAAAAATATAGATTGGGAATTTGTTTAAAGTTTGTGATCCGGTATATAATCGGCAGATATACTGTCTGAGTTCCCCACGATATTTAACTCCGAATGCACTGCTAAAATAAACACCGAAATAAATATGTGTAAGCATGGTTTCGATCCTGTTTTTTTTATCAGATACATGTGAAATATGACAACACAGAGAAGGAAAGATCTTACCGAAGTTTGAATCCTGGTGGTAGCCACTACTAGCTGCTAATGTATTCACGGCTTCACTACCAATGCTGGCGGCTTTCTCTAGTCCTCCTTTAATCATGTTCACTGCACCATTTACCATACCATCTTCTGCTTCTGTCAGAATAAAAATATAAAACGGATTTTGTCGTACATTCAAGACAAGAAAAACAGAACTTTCGAGCAGGTCCGAGTGTTTTTTTTTTTTTTGTATCTCTGCAAAAAGCTGCTGCAGGGCACAACTGGTGAGCGCATTAATACTCCGGAAATTCAATCATGATTTGCCTTCAACTGATTAACAGAATGAGCAGCGTAGGATTTCTGATCCACGACTTTTCACATTTTGGATTATGGTACAGACAGTCACAGCCCAGAAGAACATGCAATTTGCAAGTTAATTTTGAGCCATTCATTCTGTTTGTAGCAAATAAAAGCCAAAAATTTTTGGAATTTCTGACTTGTTTAAAACTGACAAAACTATCTCAAATTATAGAATGAAACCACTGGTCAAGAAACAATGAGACTATGGGGCAAATAATTTGAAGAAATGTTACGTCGAAAATTTAGGTTTGGAGCAAAGGGTTAGCAAGAGTGATGTGAAGTGACTCCAAATCTGCTCTATCGTGAAGAACTGTGGACTATACTCTGAAAATTTCAGCTTCTAACTTTTGTGACCCGAAGGGTGAAATGTGCAAGAAGGCACACAGTCTTATTCTCCCCCTAACGCAACAGCCATCTGTGTAAAAATGAGTAAAAAGCAAATTTAATGAAATACTTTTCCGCGCTATCTCTTCGCGAAATTTAAGATCGGTGTATTCTGGATGAATGGACCGTTTCATCTCCAGTTGCGCTGCTGCTTCTCTGGCTTTTTGTAGCACTTTTTTCGGATCAATTTCTTCTTCTTGAAACGCTTTTTCAGCTTTCTGCAAACTCGTTGCCGCTGCAAACCATTTTTATCGTGGTTTAGTTGAGTTTTTATCAAAATAAAACTTGTTAGGCTAAAATATATTGATCGAGATGAAATAACAAACCATGCTTGCTTCCAGATTTTATGTCCCTGGGAGCATCGTTGAGAGATAAACTTAGTCCAGGATCTGGAAAATTTTTAAATAATGCCAAATTCACTCTTCAGTTGATTTAAGCGAAAAATGTCGCAAATTGTGACGCTGGTAGGATTTTCCTGAGAAACGATTTGAATGCTGCATCATTATCACTGTGTCTCATTATTTACACCCAAACAGTTATTTGAACTCAACTTATTTCTAATCGTTTAATCAACTTCCAATTGAATCTGATGCTTTTTTACAACGTTTTGCGTATCCCTCAGCTGTGGTCAGCGAAGAGGAAGCATGGGTAGAGGACGAGGAAGAACGGAGTGTGAGCAAGAAAAATGCTGTTGTGGCCCTCCCTCATTTTTCATTAAGTGTCGGGTAACATTTTATCCTTTTAATTATTACAACGTTGACAAGTTTCCAAATTCAAATAAACAAAATTATGCTCAATATGTTCGTGCAAAAAACTGCTAACCTATTTTTCAAAGAAAAACTGCTATATGCTTCTTTTAAACAATTTTGGCACCCAGAATCACAAATAATGATGAAAAATGTCTCTGGATGAATCAATAAATCGATCAAAACGGACTGACCGGAAGCACCTTTATACAGAACACCGAAGGCTTCTCTGCCAAGATTTATGGAAAAATTCAAGAATTTGTTGATACATTCGGCAGCAGCACCGACAATCCGCTTATAGGAATCCTGAATGAGATCGAAATCTTCTTTGTTTTCTTCAGTCGTACCGCGGTCTTCACCTAGCTCTTTCTCAAATGAATCGCCAGCTGACTGCGTCATTCCGCCATCGTTCCATTCACCCTTATTTAAATTTTTTAGCTCCGGATTTCGAAACTCATTACGTACATTTTCATCTTCCGCCCTTTTCCGCGTCAGTGTAATACCTGCAGCAACACAGAGCGAAAACGCTGATTTTCACATTGACAAAATTATTAAAATTCTGGGCGCTTGGAATTATTTCCTCAATAAAAATGAAGTGAGTGAAGTTAACCGCATGAACGCGAGCATCTGCCATTTTGAATTCGAAACTGAGGAAGGCCCTCGAAAAGGCAGCATACAAACGTCCAAAACGCAGTGGTACTAACTCGGGGAATACAGCTCAATTTAAGGGCTTGATATAGCTGCGTCTAGCGTGCAGGAACATCCCATCAAAATCACTAACAAGGGATACCCACACCAACTGCCCGAACTGCCTTGGTGATATATATAGCTACAGAATGTATATATATATTCTGTAGCTGCAAGAACTGGGATTAGGATATAGTACGGGATTGCTTTGACAAGATAGTGGTAAGAAGATGGAACCGCACAAACACCAGCCCGTTGTGATTGAGCAGGTGTGTTACACTTGAATTTTGTTCCGCTAATTCCAGTCTTACCGTGTTTTTGTATGAGATTTTGCGGGTCATCGCCAACAGCAATTTTCGCCTGTTGCGCAGCAGCGATCAGCACTTGAATAGCATCCTTGTAAATTCCATGCAACATCTCGCGAGCTTCTTCCACTGGAAAAAAATCCAAAAGATATTTTAGAAGTATTTTAAATTGCCCACTGTAAACTAAAACTTTTTACTGTGAAATATTTGAATATTTCATGCAAATATGCCTTCATGGGAACTGTGTAGTTTCAAGCGTTTTTACACAAAAATACACACATATGCATGCATATATTACACTGTAAGCACCTTCCACCGTGCTTCATCTATTAAAACTTTTCCACTACATTGACGACATACTGATAGTCAACTTTCCTAACTTCTTCGCCATCTCACGGGAGATACACGGAGAATGCCTCGTTGTCAATACAACTCATGACGGTCACCGAGCCTGTTTCCTTGATCTAGATATTTCATGCCACATCGGTAAGTATACCTTTGATGTACATGATAAAGGTCTTGATAACTCTTTTAGCGTCAATCACCTCTGCGACCCAAACAACGATGTTGACCATACCCTCGATGCAGGAATTTTAATCTCTCATATGTTAAGATATGCACGGATCTGTACCTCTCTGGACCGATTTTTATGGTGGTCACGACGCTTACTGCATAATTATCACTGCCGGGGCTACTACAGAACCAAACTACACAATACTGCCTATAGATTTGTGGGTAGATACAAGGCAGTTTTGCAAATATTTATACTGCGATGATTCCGGCGTGGCGCGCATTGCTTTTTTCCTTCTAAATTTTCAAACCCTTCCCTAAATTTTTATAACTTGTATTACAGGATGTCCTCGGTGCCTGAGCCGCCCGCCAAGCGATCAAATTCGGACAACCACTTCACTAACGTTAGTTTTCATACACAGTTAATTTAATTTTCTTTTTCCCTTAACACATCTCCTTCCTGTTTCATTTTTCTACCTCCTCCATCTCCTCCTTTTTATTCTCCTCCTTCTCTAGTCCTTTTCCTATTATACAACCTTGCAGTCAACTTTCACACATAGTGGTTTGGGGGCTACGCTGATTATTCCCGCCCCATACCACACCACATACTGTCTGTGTTTGTAATTTAGTGATGAAACACAGACAGCAAAATCTACATATTACTTTTCACTTGCGCACAACACATGTCCATAGCTCTGTCACAAAATATGCACCTATATGACTATTTTATCTCTTCCCCAACCACTTCGCTCTTGTGTCCTTCTACCATTGGTCGCTTCTAGTCGCTACAATTACGGATTAATCATTACCTCCACTCTCCTCCATTTCCTTAAAAAACCCAATTCTCAACCCTCCGATTCAGCATCTCACATACACATGCAATTTTTGGTCATTCCCCCATCAACAATTTGGCTTAATTACATTTAGCATGCTTCATTTTATTTCATTCATTAATCTTTTTACAGTTTCATCAAGCTGACCGTTAATGGTGAATGCAGAACTACTAAAGATGAGGCCGGGGAATGGGACACCGTTGCCTCGAGCTTTGGTAATCTTGTCAGTATAAAGATTTGGTGTAAGGCTTAATCTTGTTTTCAAGTTGCCCGCTGGAATTTGCCAGTAGAGTGACTTTGATAACAAGTTCGTCTGTTTTTACTGTCAGTATCAAAACCACCTTTAGCTTACATTCTAGCAAATCTCCGCATGAAAAGCTACCAAGCTAATAAGAATAAGAATTGAGCTAACAAGAATCTTTGCAACTTTCAGCTGAATTTGTTAGCCCTTCAATTCAGCTCAACTTCTTAAGTTATTGAAGTTTTTACTTCACTCTGCCCTGGATACTTTCGGTAGATGCCAAATCGCCTATGACATCATTCAGAGTGAAACATGGTTTCGCCTTCAAATTAGGTGTGAACATCCATGCTACCAGTATACAGCTTACCATCTCCATCGGTCAGCACATCGGCAGCTTCATAAGCACGCTCAATCGCATCTTCCAGTTTTTCTCTTGTACTGTGGTATATTATGTAAGCTTCTGCTTGCGATTCTTCTGCAATAAATGCGTTCAATGTCATTTTTATGCGTTTTTGCTTGTATGTAAATTGCAAAAACGCACATTGCAACGACTCTGCCTGTGTGTGTGTGTGTGTGTGTAAGTGTTCGTCTATCTGTATACTTCAACTCAGCAACCAAGCAAGCTCCAGCGCCAAAATTTCGCTAGTGGATTCCCCGGCCAAGTGCCATCCCAGAACCGCGATACCAACCCTCAAACACGTCTGGGCTCCGCGTACGAGGGGGTGAAAGTTTTGACAGGAAAACTGCTAACTCAGGAACGAGAAAAGCTAGAAAGCTGAAAATTTGAGGTTATGTTCTCCGGCCAAACTGAACTCAAAAATTTCAAATTCAGCCCCCGAGTGTGCATGGTTCTCGCGCACAGCTGTGAGGGTTCCTGACGCGAAAATCGCTAACTTGGAAACCAGGAAAGCAGGGGGAGAGGAAGGGGGGTCCATGTATAACTTAAATTATCAAATTCAGCCCCCAGACATGCGTGCCTCTCACGTATGGCCCCGTGGGAATTTTTGACGTAAAAATCGCTAACTTGGGAACCAGGAAAGCTGGAAAGCTGAAATTTTAAGAGAATATTCTCCATTCAAATACAATTCAAATCCAGCCCTCATGTACGCGTGGTTCTCGTGTACAGGCACTTAAATTCTTGGCGGATAAATTGGCAATTACTAAAACTCGGCTCGGCTCGGCTAGCCCTCGGCTGCCTCGGCCGGACCTCGGCCGGCCTCGGCTACCTCGGCCGCACCATGGCCACACCTCGGCCGCCTTGGCCGGCCCCTGTCAACGGCATTATCGTGAAGCATAGAGTGGGAGAGCGGGACGGGGAGGTGAGGGGGACAGGCAGGGGAAGGGGGAAAAGACAAACGGGGAGAACGTTAGCAAGGCAGACGGGGGGAGGTAACGGCAGTGGGGACGGGTGGGAAAGACGGGCATGAGAGGAAGCGGGGAGAGGGGGGGGGCAAAGATAGGGAAAGGTACAGGGAGAGGTGGGGAGGGGGACTGCTGCGGGAGAACGGTGACCGCGGAGTCGGAGGCTTGGGGAAGGGGTGCT